GGAAACTCTTCTGGGTACCCCTGCACCATATAATTAGGGTAACTATAAGCTGCAAGTACAGCAAAAACCTCACCACATACTCAGTTGATCTGCTGTCCTGCTTTAAAAAGAAGGAAATATTGCTCTTAAAACCACTAATGTCCAGGAAGAACACAATAGTGAATGTTTCCAAATCAAGTAATTGCGAGGGCTAGAACAAAAAGTACTGCATCTTAAGATTCGAGTTTTGTTGGTGTAACAAAATTAAAAATAGCACTGATAATATAAGTCAGCAATAAACCATTAAGGTTAATTATAATGAGTTCTACAGCGAGAAACCCCACATGAAAAAAATTATTTGAACGAAAGTAGGCTTAAAACACATACCCGCACACACAGCTGAAATAAGACAAATTTTCCATTTCCCTATGTGGATGGAATCCCCCATCATGTACAGACTCCATGCAATGGAATGAATGCTGAAATTTGGTAGGGGTCTTATTTCATTTTGGTGACAACTCCCGTGTAGCCTCTCCCTGGTGCATACCACCCACAAATAAAGGAAAAAGATGTCTCTGCTTTTCACCCTCTGAAACTTTTATGCTCCGCTTTGATATAAGCCTTCATAATAGCATCACATTTTGGAAAGGAAGGCCAAAGCAACTACACATGACTGCGGAGGAGCATGTAATTTAGTAATGCAGATGAGTATTCTGGGACTGCTTGCATGCAAGAGCATGTGGATACAAACATGTAAAATCTGCACAGCTGTTCACTAAACTGCCTTCATACTTTTCCTCCTACACTCTTATACCCATGCTCAGCTGAGTCACACTGTCTTTGCTCAACCCTCACACACACATAAACACTGAAAGGTTAAACCAAAAGCTAATAGAATAAGAGAAATTAGGCAGGCACTGAAAGGTGGTCTTGGTCTCCATTGACTGTTTTCTTAACCATTTGTTCTCTTACCATTTCTTAAGTTTTATGTGAAAAGAAAATTGTTTAATTATTAAAAATGCATTTTGATGTTTAAATGAAAAACAATTTACCATGGTGTACTGCAGCAAGATTGATTTTTTTCAGTTATTTTATGAAAACATTGGAATGTTACATCATAAAGATAAAAGATCTAGTGGCATTTTTTCTGTTTTGTTTTTTATTAAATATATTGTTAGAAAAATGTCTCTTTCTGATCATAACTCTGACCCATCAAAGCACCATAACCCCTTCTTGTGTGTGTACAGGTTCTGAGTAAGCGTATCCTCTCAATAATCCGTGCACCCTCTTTCATACCCAAATGTTGCCAGTTTATTTCTTCAATTCAGTAATGTACTTGTAATCAAACAAGTCCTTCATACGCATAAACATTCTTTTTATTTATTTTTGTTGTATTTTTTGTGTCTGTCCACTGCAGCACCAGGACTCACATTTGGGGTTTGTGTCATTGTAGTTATATTTCGATTTTTAAAGACCTTAGATCAGGGGTCACCAACCTTTTTAAGAATAAGGGCTACTTCATGGGTACTGAGTCACAGGATGGGCTACTAATATTGACATATGAACTGGAGGAGTCAGCGTTCAAATAAACTTCATAGATAATAATCATATTTCTATTGTTTCTTTACATTTCTAATTTGCTTTTAGATATTGTCATTTTGAAATCCCTGTAAATGCTTATATGTTTTAAATGATTGATATGATGAAATGCTCTATTAATGATAAAACATAACACCAGCAGCAAATAAATAACATTTTAAACTTAGTGCACTGGTGAGTTGTTCTTTTTTAATAAGATGCTGAGGGCACCCCATGTGGTCCTTGAGGGCCCCTTGGTGCCCGCGGGCATCACGTTGGTGACCCCTGCCTTAGATTATCTTTTTTTTTTTTTTGGTTTTGTTTTGATTGTGTTTTGCATTTTTGGACTCCTTTTGTTAACTTTTCCCCATTTGTTCTGATGTAAACTGAACAATAAAACATAGAAATTATCAACTTAATTGCATCTGTTTATAAAATCTACAATCCCCTTTCCCTTATCTGAGCTCGGTTGTAACAAATACTTTTAGCAATAAACAGTTATAAAGGAATCAGATTTTGCATAAAATGTTACATTTTTTTCTAAATGGTTTATACCCATACCCATTGTCTTCCATCCGGTCTGGTTCATGGGGGCAGCCTTCTCAGGAGACCCTCCCAGACATTCCTAGACATCTCCTCCTGCTCCTCTGGGGAAAACCCAAGGCGCTATAGGACAGCATGTCATTATCCTCCAAGCATCCAGGGGGCAGAAACAGATGACCAAGCCAACTCAGTTCTCCCCTCAATGTGAAGGGGAGAACTACTTTGGGCCTCTCGAGGATGGTCTAGCTCCTCACCCTATCTCTAAGGGATGCCCAGTCCTTTTAGCTGTTTGGACCCAGAATCATTCATGATCCATATTTAATGGCCTTGTTAAAGGGTAGAAATGTTGACCAAATTGTAAATTAAGATTTTTGCCTTTTGGTGATATGTACAATGGTTGGCAGCAGCACCAATCTGTTGATTTTGTGCTCCATTCCCCCCTCACCCATGAACAGAACCCCATGATATTAGATCTCTTCTAGTTGAGGCAGTACCTCTCCTCTATTCTGAGGAATGCAAGCCAAAATTTTGAGAACTATGGACTCAGACTTGAAGGAGCAAATTTTCATCCAGGCTGCTTCGCACTCACTTGTAAACTGCCCCACTGAATGTTGTACGTCTTGGCAAGAGGACTCCAGTAGAACCCTGTCATCCAAAAAAAGCAGGGACGAAATCAATTAGTCCCCAAACCAGCCCTCGCCCCGCCTCCCTGTGACCTCCTGCTGGCCTCCATCTGGCCCTTGGCTGTGTCTTGAAATCCTGTCAATAAAAGTTATGACAGGACTGGTAATGGAGGGTAGTCCTGCCAGAGTCCAACATGTAGTGCGAATGGGTCAGACTTATGCAAGCAACTACAGACCATTTGGGCAAACACCCATCAACCGTCAAGCACCTTGCAGTGGTAGTAAAGCTGGTCAAGTTTTCCACAGACAGAATCAAAACCAAACTGCTTCTCTTGAACCCAAGGTTCAACAATCAGGTGGACCCTCATCTCCAACACACTGGCATAGGCTTTCCCAAGGAGGCTGAGAAATGTGATTCCCCTATAGTTGGAAAACTCTAGACCCCCTTCTTAAGAATGGGGAACTTCCAACCGAGTCTGCCAGATCAGGGTCACATTTCCTGACTGCCACACAATGTTAAACGGTTTAGGCCAGGAAAGCCCAACAACATCCAGAGAGCTAACGGACTCAGATCAGATCTCATCCACCCCTAAAGCCCTGCCAGTGAGGAGTTTTTTGACCGCCTCAGTGACTTCAGCCTGAATGATGAACAAGTCTGACTCTGAGCACCCAGTCCCTGCTTCTGCCAGGGAAGTTTGTTAACCTCTTAACACCCACCTCATTTTGGGAAACCCTCGCCTATTTTGCATACCCAAATGGAAAAGCAAATAACTTAGGAACTGTGAGCCCAAATTACATTTGCAATATATTATTTGAAAGCTAACATTGTCTAGTTTCCTGATATATAAATCAAAATTGGGTGACTAGAATACCAACCAACCTGCATAGGTTCCAACATGACTCAAAGTTGTTTTTGTTTTTATTCTTGGAAATAGTAGGTCTGTTTGAAACAGCAGTAATAAAGACATTCTTGAGAAAAGGCAGGTTTTATTGTATTTGTTCTAAATCATGTCAACCACAAATGCAGAAAATTTCAGATCTCTAGCTATAGCAGTTCCAGAGCTGTGGGGTATGGAACTTTTGGTGTCAGTTTGGAGCTGTGCGCAATGGCTCCGCCTTCTGGTAAAAAGTTTACCGGTGAAATTTTATGCATTACTGAATTATTAAGCCCACCGGCGACCCGGTGGGTTTTAAGAGGTTAACAGTGTTAGAAATAACTGCTCCCCCGAAGGCACAAGAAGATTTGCTGGAACCACTTTGAGACTGACTGCATTGTCTCCAAACTCCTAACATGCTAGATTTTTTGTCGCTGTTAGCGTTACCTATGCCAACAAGACTTGATAGGACTCCTTCGGCTGCTTGACAGCATCAATTTTTGCTGGTTTCCACCACTGAGTTTGGGGGTTACTGCCACAACAGGTTTCGGAGACCTTATATACACATAGCGTGAAGGAACCTTGTCCACTCAGAATCCATGTCCCCAACCTCCGGTGGAATCTAAGAAAAGCTTTCCCAAAGGTGGGAAATGAATACATCCTTGACAAAGGGCTCTGTCATACATTCCCAGCAGACCCACACTATTTGCTTGAGCCTGAGATTCTGAGCACTGATCAAGCTAAAACCAGTCTAAGCAAACTTAAGTAGGTTATTATTTATTGGAAACAAAACGTATTTCTTTGCAGTAAACAATAGTTTGAACGTAAAATTATATTTTATAACTTAGATTGTCAAAGTGGATAAAAAACATTATACTAATGTAAAGTTAATGCCAAATGCCATACTACAGAAAGCCAAATTATAAGGTAGTAAATTATTAGAAGCAAAAAATTGTCAAATTAAACAGACAAGCAGCCTGTCCAAATTTAGTCCTTTAACTCAAAAAAAATGAAAACCATCACTGGTAAATGTAAACACAGAGGTGTACTTGACATGACAGAAAAAGATGGGTAGGATTTTTCCGCACTGAAAAAAGACACATCTTCTGTTATACTTCCCCAATAGTCATATATAGAGAGGGAGATTTTTTTATTTTTTTTTGGTGGCACACTTGTCCACAAACCACCTGCGCTTTGGCCTCATTTGAACCAAGCACAGTGGTTGGGCTCAAGTCTGTAAAACATCTCTTTTTTTAAACCTGAGCTTGTCTTGCGCAAAAGGTTAAGCAAAAGATAGAATCATGCAACCAAGCTCTACACCGTGACCTCAAAACCACATTATCAATCAACACAGGGTAAGAAAAAGTAAATGAAATGTAGGTATCAAAGGTGGTGAGCTTACCCGATTTCCGTCTACCAGATCCTCCACTGTCTCTGAAAAAGAAACAACACCAGAGCATGATCAGTTTGAGTGAACACCAACAGAACCGGATCAATCTTGTAACTGGTTACAGATGAATGTCTTTATGCAGACCATTCTAGTGCAGTTGTCACACAACTACCAGCCAAGCCCTCATGGAGAATGCACTCAGAACTTGACCCATGAGTAAAGGGAGGGAGTCCGTGTGGGACAGAAATGGGTGAGTCGTACAGTAAGGATGCCAAAAGGAGAGCCACAGCAAACTACAGCCAGTACTGAGTGTAAATGGATTTTATCTGTTCTAATATTAGACATAAGTGCAACACAGCTGCCTCTCTTAAACAGAAAGCCATGTGTTTATCGGACAACAGTGCCATATCTCCCTGTGAAATCCAATTTATATTTGGATGTAAAAATGGCATCTGTCTTGGTTCAAGCCGTGGCTTAAGACTGAAAAACGGATCATTCGTGTCAGAGAACCTGCACTATGCTGTGATCTACTTAAAGATCAGCAAGTTTCCACTCAATGTTCTCTTATCTTACATTTTAATAAATAAACAGAAGTAATGAATCATTTGACAGAAAAGCTATTACTAGATATTTTTTTTTATATTTTAAACTTTTATTGGTAAATATAATTTGGCATAGTTTTTAATTTTCTCTCTAAATGTGCTATTATTTAAACAAGAAACTATATTTCCTCGCTTTTCTTCTGGACAGCATCTTATGCAGAAGAGATTTTTGATTTCTCTAATTTTTTCTCCAGCTGTACCAAAGGAATTATAGAGCAATTATTTTTCAATTACTAAAATTTATCAGAAACACAAAATGACTACATGACAAATGCATAAATTAGTTCCCCATTAAGGTGCTGTCAGCTAATTTTGAGTGATCATTCCACATCCTCTAAGCTACATAAACATAAATGAGGATATATAAGGAGTCGGAAGCAGGTAAATACTTCAAACCCCAGGACTATTTCAGGAAGTGTGGGGTGACTGCTCACCCTCATTTAGTTAACTGGGCAGCAGAGAGGAGAGTGATGAGAAGCTGAGGCTTGACACAGATGGAAACAGACACCTGGCTCTCTGGAGAGGCCAGCAGCAGGACCACAGCCAAGGCCAGTCAAGGATATGAGCACATGCTTGGATAAAACTTGTCTAACATTTGCCAGCATAACAGAATGCTTATCAACTTCATTTAATAGGAAAACCTAACTAACACTGGATATACTGTTGCATTCCTTATTTGGCTTTATAGGGAGTATAACAGATCAATCGATCATAAAAACTAAGAAAATGCAGTGCATTCAGCAAGCACTATATGACCATGACCTTAAAAATGCTTAAAATTATAGCAGGAACAAATCACATATATTAATATGTAGGGGTCTTTGAATGTGAATGGCCTAATCTGAGAAAGAGATGGACTTGGAAATTGGCAGGTCAGTGACTTCAAGTCAGGGACCTGCCAAAATAATAGACTATCTTACTTCATAACTAGTGAGCACACCATACCAAGGCACTCATATGCTGTTATGAGCAAAACACTCTCTGTATGTAAGTGGCTACGAAAAGTGGAGTTAGCTATTATAAATAGCAGTAGGGTAGCTAAAATAAAATGTGGAACTATTCAAAAGGTAGGAGGCTATTTTAAGTTAAAAATTATGTTGCATTTAACTTCTTACTCAGGGTGCTACTATTAAACATTAAATTAAACTTCAGCAGATAACAATAAAAATGTAAGCAATACATTTTAACCAAATCTCCAAGCTCTAACTGTCATGGAACATGGGGACTATAGCAGCTTTTAAATAAAAATTAGAGTTACAAAAATTAAGAGTCTACATTTTTTGAGAAATACACACAAACAGTTACTATGGCTATCAAAATTAAACTGTCTAAATATCAGACAATGGGAGATGTTTAAAATGTCTTTCCTTATGATTACAAAAACAACTTCTTCTCCTTCTACTTCTTCTATCTCCTTTACACAAACTGGGAAATGACGGCCAAATAAGGAACCCTGTATCAGACAACCATTTCAAATCGGCTTATTGCTTGAAGGATAGTTTACTTAGTGTGTTGGAGACATCTGCTGGTGCAGTGCTTCTTGTACAGCCTTCCAAATGTGACACTAACAGACCTGTGTGATTTTTTACAATGTTAATTAATCTCAAGATCTAAATTAAATACTGATGTTTCTATTTTTCTTCCTTGCTTTCTAAGCCTTTGAATATAATATTCACTGCCTCAGTATTTGTTCCCATAGAAACCAAAAGAATTGGAAAAAGATGAATAATCACTCACTCCAAATTACATACTGGACTAATACACACATGGAGACTATAGGTGGAATTGATCTTGTTAATAGAAAAAAGATAACTTTTTGCTAATTAATACTTAAGCTCCAGCACAGGGCTTTTTTGTGTCGAGTTAAGACAGTCTTCAAAAGTTAAAATTGGAAGCAGCACATTAAAGATAAAAAGAAAAAGATAATGATTTTTTTTTTTTTTTTCCAAAAGCTGTATTAAGAAACTCCAGGCTCAACTTAGCATCCCAGCTTTATCTGTACCTCAAGGCCAAGCCAGGGTTCAGAGTTGTGGCAATGTCTAACCAGGTGTAAGTTATCAACCTAAATGTAGGTCTTCAAGACACCATGAGGTCGATCACAGATACAGTGATACAGCAGACATAATTTAAGAGGTTACTTGTTTTTATTCTCAAATTGGCAATCATTTTCCTTATGGTGCATTCAGACCGGAAGCAGTGGCTAAAAAAGCTGTTTTAATTTATTCCTAGAAGCACTGCTCTTCCTCACTCCCCTCCAGCACAGACTGCGGTCTGTGACTGCCCATTGCAAAGTATCGGTGCTTTCTGCATGATAGATTTAAAAAGAAGTCCCGCAGAATCAGAGCTACGTCCAAACGAACCAAAGTGGACTCTTTCTTTTAGAGCTTTTGGGGATTTTCAAGCAGAAGCTTTCAAAAATAAATAGTATTTTCGTTAAAAGTTAATTTCTTTCCAAATATGTTAGTATATTGAGAACACAAAAAAAAAAAAAAAAAAAAGAGACAAACTCTACAATTGATGATCATGAACAAAATAGTAAAACAGACAGATTTGGAGCAAGATTCATACAAAATCATCAAAGAAGCTAAAATCTCCTGTTTGTAATATTTTAGAGATAAAGAATTATGTTTACCACAAAATTAACACAATGTATAGCTTTAAAGGAGAGCAAAACATCTCAATGATTCAAAAACTTAAGCAGAGCTTTTACTAGGAGTTTCATAGCTCTACTGTTAACAGTGCATTAAAGGTACAGCAGTACATTACATAAAGTGAAAAAAAAGCCAAAATACATTGTGTGCTAGTTGGGTGGTGATAAAATTGAGGCTTGGGGGAATAAGCTGATGATGAAGTAAATGTTTGACCTTTTCTGCTTACTTCTGACCCTCAGCAAAAGCTCAGAGGTGGAGTTATATGTTCCCCCCAGGAGAAGACACAGTACAGAGCTCTGGCTCTGTGTAATTCTTTCCTAAATCTAATCATTAGGGGAAAAAAAGTTTCTGTTAAATCTTTATGATGGTTTGTGCATGGTAATCTTCAAATCAAAACAGCATAAGGGAATCATACTTTTCATTTCACTCTGTGGATATCAGTGTTGATAAAAATCCAAAGCCTTCTTGAATATTGAGTAATCTGTTTGTACAACTCTGCAACTCACTCTTCATAGGTGGGCCTGCTAGAAAGGAATGTATGTGAGCATTTTTTTCAGCAACTATGTATCTGTCTTGCTATATGACTAAATTACAGAGAAACTCATGCATGACCTCAGATTTCCCTCTACAGGGGTAACCTCTAAGCTCTGCGGTCAACAGGTCGTCAGTGTTGAGCAGCAAATCATGATGATAAAGCAGGCCGCTTACGTGTACAAAGAAAACGAGCAATGGAGGGTTTTTGTGTGAGGAGGTAATGGCGCTGCTACAAAAAACACACACAACTCCAGTAAACTCAGGCATAATTGCCAAGAGTTGAAGAAAATGTTGGCCATGGGCAGAAACTGATGTCAGTGCTGAAACTCTGCTGCCAAATTAAGCTCTGAGTTACAATAGAAAAAAACACAAACTTCAGACGAAAAGTTACCTACACTCAGATCTGATTGAGAAGTGTAACTAGTATTGATGGCATTCATATGGTGACTTCTTCACTCTTTGGTGATGGAGTACATGCAAGCAACTGTGTGCAAAAATGTGTGGTTTTCACAGAAAAAGTTTGACAGGATTATGAATGTTAGAAGATGAGCATCAAACCAAACCATTTGAATGCTTGCAAAAAAATTAAGGTTATTTTTAGAAATTCTAAATAAATATAACAAAAGAATGCACTTCATGTTAATGACACTTTTTTTGCTAATTCTGAAATATATACCCTTTATCACTGCTTTTTTTTTAAGCTCTTATTACTAGGCATCAATTGAGAATTGACCAAGGAGGTAAGCTTGCTTTAGGGTTTATTTTCTGAATTAGGTGCCACACGTGTTTTCAAAGGTTCTTTTCTTTGTTTGTTTATTGTTTTTTACACACTTTTTTGCATCTACAGCAGACAATTCTGAATTAGTGCCGATTTAGTGATGCTTACAAGTAAATCTAATGTTAAATCAATATGGGTTAATTGTTTTTTTTATGCAAACAAAACTAGAGTATAAAACATTAATTAATAATGATAATTATTATAATTTTTATTATTATTATTCAACTTTTGCTAAATAACCCGTTTTTCCCCACCAGGTCTAAAGGAACAGAATTCAATCTCCAATGGCCTTTTAGTCTATTCAAAATTATTCATCACTGGAGAACAACAATCTAGAATCTTTTAACATCTTGATTAAATTGTATATGAAAAGGTTCAAATATAACAATAAATCTGCAGTATTATTGTTTAAACATATATAACAAAAATATTTAAGGTGTGCTAAATACAGTAGGTATACTATGCTTATTTCAATTAAAGTGGAAAAAAAAAATCTCTTGATTTTCTTTGGCCTGTTCAGGAGCGACCTCTGGTGTTGGATGAGTATTAAAGCAACTTCTGATTTATTTTCATGCTTAACTGATAAACATTGGGCAGCAGACTCTTACAAAAGAGGTACAATTATATAAAATGTGCTTAAGTTGATGGGATAAAAATCGGTTTCACTAATCTACTCTGACTTTTATTCCTGGATATTATTGTTAGAACAATTTCTTCTTTTTTTTTTGGCTGATTTCCACTTTTTATAAGCTATGGTATTCAATACTATATCTTACAAGCTGTAACTCAACAGAAAGACGACAGCATCTTATCTGTGTTTCTCAATCTGTCTAACATAAACTACCATTTCAAATGGTGGAGATCAAGCATGTATGAAGTGTCCACGGGTGGTATGTCTGCTAGACCTCTTAGTTTAAGGTGGGCTGGACTGTCTCAGAGACTGCATGAGGCTCTGACTTTGAAGTGGGATTAACATGCATGGGTGTTTGAGGTTAGAGGTCATAGAACTGGTTGTGGCTGAGAGGTTTCTCACACTGGGTTTGGAGTTAATACAAGACACAAGTCCTGAGATCCAAGGAAGAAACTGGTTTTACATTCCCTGTGTACAACTGATGATATGTTTAAAAGATGAAAGCGTGTTTTAAACAAAGGACAATGTTGCAGTCAGCTTACAGCATAATTACTTCCATTATTTGACTTTGAACTGAGCATGACTAATGACCTGACTGAGGTCTTCATCTTCCCTGAGACTTGAGCTCGCATGACACCACCAATCCTTTCTCATTTGTTCTGTTACCCGTCTGACATCATTATTAATAAAAAGCAGTAGCTCTGAACCAGAATCCATTCATCATTTCAAACAAAGTGAAGCCTGTGGATCAAGACAGGGTCACAACAGACAGCTCAGCTGCTGAACCACTTACTTGGAGCTTACTGTCCAGCTGAGGGCAATGGCCTTTCAAGCCTTGTCACACTAAAATGATCATCTTTAAGTGGAACAAAAATCTATACAAGCTTTCCTACATTGCAATAAAAATTGTGATCTGCCGTTGTAATCTCCAAGATGGAGGACCTTCGCCCCAAACTGATGTTGTTGTCAGCCTCCCGCAATTCCTCTTCCAGAATTTCTCTGTATTGAGCTTCATCCATCAACTCTGAGCAGTTTCACTGTAAAGTGGTGTGTTAAGAGTTTTAGTAAAATGTATTTTCTCTTTTGTCGCATCCTAAGAGCTGTTTGATAAACAAATCACTCTTTTGGAGATTTTGCAGCTCCTCCAGAGTTACCATAGATGTCTAAGCTGTCTTTTTAGGCTCTCCTTACCTGTCCTGTCAGCAGGTAGAATGGCCATATCTTTGTAGAGCTGGTCTAACAAATAATTTCGATTTCTATTTAAAAATATACATTTTTGAGTGAGATGTTTAAAGCCTTAGATATTATTTTGAAAAATAAGCCTGCTTTAAACTTTGTTTTTACCTTTCCTGATGCTGTATTAGAGTGAAAGGGGCTAAATACATATTCATGATATACTTTATTATTTGTCATTTTCCTTTCCACCTATACACTACTTCTTTAAAATCTTGTAAAATCTATTTGGAAGAAACAGTGCATTTTGTGATGGTTATGAAAGCAAAAGGTGAACAAAAGGAAAACAAAGACTTTCGCAAGGAAGTTCTCAGCATTATATGAGAAAGATTGTAGTTATGCTTAACAATTACTCATTTTTATAATGCACTTTCTGTTTTCTTACTCTGTTGGAGGGTTGAGGTCCTCTGATCTGGTTTCAAAGAACTTAAGGACCTCCTCACTTTCAGAAATTAAAGAAGGAAGTTTCATCAGAGCCTGCAAGCAAAGACAAGATACATGTTTAACAGCAGGAGTCATAAGTTTTTGTTACTGGTAAACCTGAACTGAAACTAGAGGGAGCTAATCTGAGTTGATGTAGATGTAGAGACCAATTGTAGATGAATGCAAGCAAGAAGTGATCCTTAGGCAGGAGGTCAAAACAAATGAAAATACACACTGGTTATGCTGGATGTAGTAATCCCAGCCCAACTCAAATTCCGAGAAAAATGACAAATCTTTCTTAGACGATAAAAAGGCTGCTACACATACCAGCCCACCTGTTTAAACTTTCTTTTTACTGAGAAAATAAGAGGAACAGGTCTGAGCACATTACTGTATGGCATAACATACTGCTGATTCATTCCTTGTAACCCCCTGTATGCAGCACTCTGTCCTGTTTCTTCCAAAGGAAGTCTGTTTACATAGCTGACAGGACACGAACGGTACAGATAGAGAAGCTGCTTTCCTGTTAAGGCTGGTGGAGGGAAAGATAAATGAAACTCAGGCCTCCTTTGGAAAACATTTAAAGATATTCCCATATTTACAGAGCTGTAAACAAATTACAGAAAATGTGTTTTATAGCGTTCTTACTTTGCAGTAGTTATCCAGATGCTTCAGTCTTTTAACAGCCACATCTCTAATGTGACTACGGCGAAACAAAACTTTACCTGAAAAAAAAAATAATGAATATAACTGTGATAATCAAACACAAATCAACATTATTTTTTCATAAAGTTCTGATTGACCGTTACGTTATTTGTTTAATTTATATCCTTGCAATGAAAACAGATCCCTTCTTTGCTGTATTTGTACTCTATGCAGGGGGCTGACCTCTAGCTGCATCTAAAGAATAAATCTCGCTTAAGAGCTACCTTACTGAAAAATAGCACAAATCGTGTTTTTCTGCCAGAACGACCAAAACAACACAGATGATCTTTGAGCTGCGAGCCATATCTAACAAAGGATCTCTTTACCACTTTCCTCTGCTCGGCCCACAACAACTTTATCAGATTAGACAGATCCTTCTCTGCTAACCTCCTACTGACATGGCCAGCCACAAATTGATTTGGCCTGGCTACAACACGGCAGTTGATAAAACAATGCAGTGTGGTGGTCACAGCTATGGAAAGCGTTGGAGGGCCAACAAAGGGCAGCTCTAAATGGACATAGTCAGAGGTGATTAAAAAGGACAGAGGAACTGTGGCTGCATCTCAGTAAGTTAGACTAAACTTTAATCAAATGATTTAAAAAGTGAAGCTAATAATTATATAGACTGAATTCAACTCTGATTCATTTCAACGATTCTTGATCATTAAAACCAGACAGACTTCTGAATGAAACACATTTATCTTCTCATTTATTAATTTGCCACATGTCTCTATATCTTTATATATATATATATATATATATATATATATATATATATATATANTATATATATATATATATATATATATATATATATATATGTATACAGCGAAAGGCTTTTATATATGACAAAACAAAATGTCAGCATATTCGAAAGAATGTCCATGCATTGTGTAGTTTTGCCCCTCTACATCACAAGCGGGGTCGAAAGGGGTGCCGGTGCCTATCACCAGCTCTCAATGGGCGAGAGGCGTGGTACACCCTGGACATGTCGCCAGTCCATCGCAGGGCAACACAGAGACAAACAGGACAAGCAACCGCTCACATACACACTCAAACCTAAGGAGAATTCAGAGAAGCCAATTAACCTAACAGTCATGTTTTTGGACTGTTGGAGGAATCTGGAGTACCTGGAGAGAACCCACGCATGCTCAGGGAGAATATGCAAACTCCATGCAGAAAGACCCTGTTCCTGGAATCGAACCACCCCCCCCACCCCATCTACATTTCTTTAGCATTACATTTTTGTATCAGTGCAGCATGGAACGGACTTCATGAGCCAAGTTTCTCCTAATAATGATCTTTATTAACAGGGCAACAGTTTATTTAGCTGGTTTAAAGAGCTGCATTAGCTGGTAAAATGAAATAATAGTTGTTAATTAAAAATCAAAACAATTAATGATCATTAAAGGCTGGTAGTAATCAATTATTAAAAATATATATTTGTTGAGAAATTAATTTTGATTAGAATGGTCATTTAATAATAATCATTTCCACTTATGGTCATTAATTACATTAATGCTCCCTTGCATTGCTATGGCAGGCCCCAATTAACCTAAGCAATTGATCACTAACGTTCTAATAAGTAACTTATATTTCTGAAAAATATGTGATCAATATGTGGAACATTTCATACTATTTAACTAATAAAACAAGGACATAGTTTTATTCTTAATGAAACAGATACATTGTTTTATGCACATTGTTAGATAAAAACATTGTTTTATGAATAATTTATACAAATAAAATACAAAAGATGAGGATCTGAGAATGGTTATTTCAGCTTAGGTTTGGCTCCTTGTTTGTTGTCTATTCATTAAAATCAATTAAGTAATGTACTGCCTATATGAGGATTTACTGAGACGCAGTTCACATTTAGCAATTATAGTCTGGGATGAGTAAATACTTCATATCTGCATATAAATAGACTCGCCTATAAAAAGGACACTGATTTGAACCCCCACTTGTATCTCTCTGTTGCCGTCAGTGCTGTAGAGTGCAGCATTCATTACCTGGTAAAAAAGGAATGATTCTCTTCTTGGGATCCTTCTGTCCTCCCTCAATTGGGAATTTGTCAAGGATTCGCATCTGCAAAAGTAAAGCAAAGACACTGCTACTTTAATATCTAAAAGAAAAGGAGAACTTCTTTTAAATTTACACTATTATTTATACACAGTTACCTGGAGAAAAGTCTTAAAAGTATAAAACTGAGTTATATAATAATAATACTACATTTCTTTTAAAGTGCCTTTAAAACACACAAGGACACTCAACAATAAACATAATTAACAATATATAACAATTAAAAACAGGACAGGGCAATCAGTGAAGTATGTAGTCTTGAACAGATAAGGTTTTAGCCTTGATTTAAACAAATGTAAATATTCAGAAGGGAGTTAATTCCAGAGTTTGGGGTCAGAGAAAAAGAAAACTCTGCTTTCCCATGGTGATGAGGTGGCAGGAAACTCAATACGGTGGATGGAAGATCTAATGATTAGGGAGGGGGTAGCAATCTGAAGGACATCTGAGAAGTATGGCAGTTCAAGACTATGGATGACCTTGAATGTGAAAAGAGGAAGTTGAACTAAATTCTGAAGTTGAAATTAAATGCAAAAGACCAAAAAAAATAGAGTTGTAGTATCAAAACGGGAGTTAACTTGTTTGTCCAGCACACATACTGTACTAGAATATAAGGCCTAGACAATCCAATCCTTGATTTGAGGTCAAATCGGTCCATCCAAGAGAAAATAGATCCCTCTTAGCACAGCACACACAGCAGAAATATCTCTTAATATTATGTCCAGAAGTTTTGGGTGTAGGGAGATTGTCTCAAAAGTCTGCATAGTTTTCTTGCTGTATAGCTTTCAGTGTTCTTAATTCATCAATAAGAAAAGGGCTTAAAAAGTTAAAACAGATAAAAAGATCTAACAGCTGAATGTAGTATTCTCTTTACTACAGAAATACAGTATTCTTTCCTAAATAGTCTTTCCCAAACATGTTAAAGAAGTTCCCATGTGTGACATTTGTAGATTGATTTGTTTCCACTCTTCTGCCCAGTTTATCCCTAATCAGCTCAATGAGGCTTGAGTCTAAATTGATGTGATCATCTTGCTATTAGACTAACGAGGCACATACCAGAGGGTATTGTGTGGTGCTGCAAAGTGTTTTGTTTGTGGATGTATTTCAGGGTCTGTCTCATTTTTTATGTCACCATGCCTGGATCTAGGAAAACAGCTTCAGATCATCACACCCCCTCTTCCATGTTTGACAGTTGAGATCACACACTGTGGAACTCTTTTTGCCTACTCAGTGGCATACAAAGATCCAGTATGATAATCCAAAGAATTAAACTTTTGATTCATCAGTCTAGAATACTTTCTTCCAGTCTTCATTTGGTGGTGGCCATGGCTCAGGCAAGCCTCCTTGTCTAATTCTATCATCTTAGCAATGGCCCTCCTGATGTAGCTGGTCCAACTGTAAAACCTCCAGCTAAAAATCTTCTCTTCACAGAAGAAACTGAGATTTGCTTACTATGTGTATTACACTAGGCCTGAAGCTGTTGTTATGTGAGCCACCTATCATTCACTCTCAGTACCTTTTCCTTCACGTCAGTTGTGGCTTTATGTCTGCCAGACATCTTGTGTTTGAGTTTCCCCCAGTTCTAAGTGCACTATGATGGTGGAAAAAACAATAATCACTGACACCTAGAAATACCTAAACCTGTAAGTTTTACGATGGTCTGTACCTTTTCCACGGCTAATTGCTTGTTTAATTGCCTATTTGTAGCAACAAATGCTCATATGTTATATTCTGAATGTTTCAAATATATTCTGAAAATTTTTCATCTTTACCTTACCATTTTTTAACCAGTTCACAGTTCATCACTTAACTTTATACTATTTCAAGCTATTTGTAGGATTGAACATCTTGAACTAACATAAATACCCTCAAAAAGTGGGGTATTTTAAACCTTTTGATTCATACTGTGTACCTGGAAACAAATTCATTTATTTTCAACCATGCTATACTTCAATAGTCTGTTTATATAAGCATGTATGCAATATAAACTTTGGAATAGATAAGCAAGTGAATTTATATAATAGAGCAGTATTTTAGTTTTCTGGCTTAACATTCTATTTTCATTAATAACCCGTGAGAACTGTCTGAAATAACAATACTTTTTAGACTCAGATGAAGTTCTGGCTCAGAGTTTTTGCCTTGCCCTATTCCAGATGTGCTCTGTCTAAAGGCAAAGGGTGCGGGTGTCAAACTGTAGCACCCCGAGCTCCAAGGAGGAGACTTTAAAACTAGTTTCAGCACAAACTGAGCCAAAAAGCACCAGGTGGACAAACAGAATCAAGCTTGGAGGGTAAAGCTGGGTCCAGCCTGTCTGGAGCTGTAGGAGTTGTTTGTAAGACTTCCCCTCAAAGAGGTGGTTTGGTTTCCCATCTTGTGGTTCTGGTCTATTCTACTGCCTTCGCTAAATGGCAAATTTTCTTGCAGGGCATTGCATTTCCCTCTCTGAACTATGAACAGCAATGAAGACGTGGGTTGGGTAAAAAATGACAGTCATCACTTTGTTTAGGGGTAATGCGAAGGACAAGGGATATAAAAAAGCCTTGGTTAACCACACCTGCACACAAGCCCTGTACTGAGAATGGATTTTTTTTTGCTCAAAGAATTAAGAATTGCAAAAGTTTAGAAATGCATAAAAAAGTGATTTTCCCTCACAGTAAAATAGGGATAACAATTTTATACAGAGAGCTGAAATGTGTTGTTATAACAGTACACTGGCAACTTCATTGCTTTTTTTTTCTTTTCAAGAGAACAAAGCTAGACACTTCGCTTCACATTTGAATATAGCAAAATACTGCCTAGAAGTCAGAAAAGTACACATTATGCTGAAATTGTCTTTTCAAAAATGAGGATAAGATCATCCTCCAGCAACCTGCTTTTCCATCCTAATGTCTCATATTTTCTTTTTTTTTGTTTTGTTTGTTTTTTAGTGGCTGGTTTTATGGACAGTAGGCTGACAGGAAAGATAGTATGAGAGACATGCGGGAAAGGACCACAGGCCAGATAAGCACCTGGTTCGCCCGAATCGAGGACATGAGTCGTGTGCGCTAACCACTGCTCCACCAAAGCACCCCCAGTTTCATGGGTTTTTATGATAACACTTAAACAATTTAGAATGAAAACTTGACTTTTATTTTATTTATCATCAAAATCTGTGAACACATGATCAAATACCAAGGCTCTCAAATAAATCCCATGTTTTTTTTTACCTTTAAGACGACCTAAATCCTGCACAATTAAATGGAAAATATAGATATTTATATATATCAGCAGAAAGAAGAAATTATGTTCTAGGATAATCCTAGAACACTAAAACTCAAATATATAGGTGATATTTTTTTTACACAATATATAATTGCAGTAACATAGAGAATGTAGTCACGTGATTATCTATGAGATAATACCGAGTTGGGATATTAGTTTTGTATAGTTATAAATAATATCCAGTTTTAGCCCAAATCTTTCAGCTGTCTCAAGGATTGACTTTTTCACTCTTAGTGTTAGAGGAATTATGCCTCTGAAACAATGATTTAGTAACTTGATAAGACGAGAGTTAAAAGTTACAAAACAGCAAACGCCTGAGGTCTCAATTGAAAACGTGACGACACTGTAAGAGAAAATGAATGGGATCAACTAAAAAGGGAACTGCACCAAAAAAAAATACATAGATAAAGATGCGCTGCATATGAAACATGTATACTAAAGTTTAATGTGCTCAAGGGGAAAATGTCCTTGCTGAAGAAGTACAATTGTCCCTTTTTGCTTTTTGCACTAGTTGCCTTTTTTCTGTCAGTAAGCTGTAAGGAAATGGGGTTAAGAGAGTATAAAATCCATACACAAAATTCCATAAACGGGAGGAAGCAAACTAGGCTTGCTAAACAACTGTCATTATTTTCTAAAGTTATACTAAACAGAGGAGACAAAAGCAGTTGAATCAGACAGACTAAGAATTTCAGTAGACAAAGAAAGTGCCTTGGGAAGAATCTGGGACAGGGGGAGTAAGAAGGAATGTTGCAGTGGGAAAACAATCTGATTACATTTATGGGTTCTTATTTGACACCTACTTGACAATGATTTTCGCCACAATGAACATAACAGTTTTATAAGGATTTGCTAAAACTCTCCCAGATTAGCTTGGAGAGAACTACATGGTTGAGGCAAAAAATACTCTTGCATTTTGTAGAGAGATTTTTACTCATACAAGCAGAAGCTTCAACTATGGGTCAAACAAGTGCATGGTTATTTACAAAAGCACTGCTTACTGTATTATTCAAGCTTTAAGAGGCAGCAGTAAACATGACAGAAAAAAAGGTAGCATAGAGCACAGATCACATATAGGCTTCCTAAAAATTCCATCATTGGTCCACTTTTCTTAAATATACCATAAGTCCTACATATTCTAGAATTGTATGGCAATTCCTGTCATGCCAATGCTAACCACAAACAAACTTTGATCTGTCAACTACAGACACGTGTGGACAATAGCCCCATTTACACTACCCTCTAAAAACTGACCCGTGCTGAGCTTGGATCAGTTAACCGTGCCGAGCTTGGTTATTTATGGCCATTTACACACCACTCTATCACGGTTTCTCGCCTCCTAGTGATGATCTATGGTACTACTGTCCTCTAGAGGTAGACAAGCACATCAACATGGTGGCGCCTGTGACTTTCAGGAAGCTTGGTTATAACTGTGAAATTTAGTTTGCAGAGTCCGGCAAAAAAGTAGTCTTTGTCGAATTTACTTGACAGAGTTGGCTTTTGGGAAGTGGATATGACAAATGATAGTCTAATCAGGGCTTACAGATGCAGGAAACAACGACTAACGTTGAGGTTCATCACACTGCTAAGCAGAATCATAACTGGAAATCGTGTTGCAAGCTAGGGAAGCTAGTGTTTTTATGAATGTCAGAAATTTCATGATTACGGAGGCTGACTGTAAGGAGATGACGCCGCCTGCTTATGCGCTCTTTGTTATCCAAGAACCGTGCCAGAATTGAACCATGCCAAGCCCTACTGTGCAGCTAGTTCCATGTTTGCGCAGTTCAGTTGTGTCTGGCACGGTCCAGTTTGGTTTTGCTTGCTATTTACACTCAAAAGTTATTTCACTTACCATGCTCAGACTGATATCGATTTGGTTTCAAAAGGCTGGTGTAAATGGGGCTAATAGCTCAGTTTCTCAAGAAAAAAATTGTAAATGTGGGGGTGAAATTTTCAACAAGCCTAACAAATGCAATGTGCATGTTTTTTTTGCCTCAACAATGCAAGGTTAGAGATCAATATTTGGCTACACTCATGACCAGAATTCATAAAAAGCAATCAGTTAACATTAACTTAGTAGAATTCCAAGCAAATGTCCAAAACAGTGGTGTCCAAATTCAGTCCTAAGGGTTGCTGTCTGCCATGTTGAAATTGGATTCAAAAAAGAAAAACAGCAGCAGATTAAAAAGCTAAGCTGATCTAAAAGGAACAAGGAACTAGCAGATTCCTTGAAATTTAGTGGAGGGAAAGCTATAAGTAACCCCCCTAAAAAATGAATCATGTAGTGTAAAGAGAATCCTGAGGGATTGCGGTATAAGGGACCAACAGGTGTTGGACTGGTAAAAGGAGCATTACCGGTACAAATCAGAACAATCTTAGATTAAAAAAATAGATATCTTCCAAGCTCCAAAAACCATCAACAAAAAAGACAAATTACCGGTATGTGATTTTTAGGCCAGACAAATCAATGTGAAAATTGGGTACCAAATTATGTAGAAATAAATTTTCCATTGTGTAGGTTAATGAATGAAGAAAATCTCAAAATGACATCATCATTGCAAAGGACTCCTGAAGCAGAGGAGGCTTTTTGCAGACTTAAACAAAGCTTAGTCTAGCACTGCTAGAACCAATATCTTTAACTGAAGCATGTAAGTTAATGAAAGGGAAAGAGCAAACATTTACACAGGTAGTCAGGATGCATTATCCCCAGTTTACACATTGCATAATACTGGAAAAATAGAGGTATGGTTACTTCCAAAGAAAAAAACAGTTAAACATTTAACAGGTTTACTAACAGGTTTCTTAGCAGCTGTGCATTTACAAAGAACCATAGCTATATATGCAAATGTGCAGTAAAGGCCTCAGGGAAAGATCTCTTTAGGAAATACATTTGCAAATAAACAACAAAAGCAGCTGCCATGAGACAAATATAGTCATTAATTATAGAACAAAATACTAATCTTGATCTAACTATATTAGAGATATGCAAAAAATAATATCTCCACGACCAGAAAATGATGGTGGATAAAACATGGAGCTAAATTACAAAATGACATCTCATTGACTCGAATACAATCCATCAAACTAAACATACTTGTAGCGACAGTGGAGAGAAAAAAAATCCCTTTTAACAGGAAGAAACCTCCTGCAGAACCAGGCTCGGATTGAGCGGCCATCTGCTTTGGCCGACTCACAATTTCATGTATTTTCTGTCCGACGAAAACACACAAAATCATGGTTCATCTGCAATGTCCCAATAGAAATGTGGGCCTCTGTATTAAACTCAATTAATACTGTTAAAAACAAATGGATTAGAATAGCAATCAGTCCAATGGGTGTTGAATCCATGCATCCATCTGCTCCCCTTTTAACATCAAGGTCAGTAGAGCCACTGCCTATCTCTGGCAAACTATGGGTGAGAGGCAGGGTACACCCTGGACAGGTTTGCTAGACACACAAAGACAATAATACACACACACTCACAATTAGAGTGTGCACAGGGACAAAATGCAAACTCCATCAACAAAGACCCCAGGTTGGGAATCGAGCCTGGAACCTTGTTGCTCTAAGGCAACAATGCTAGAAACTACTCCACTGCGCAGCCCGTGGTATTGAATCATTGAGTTTATTTCCTTTTTGATATGTTGGCCAGTTCATGTATTTATCCCAATTTGCACCACTGCAGATGTATAAAAATTTTTTTATTAAAGACCAAGGCAGAAATCAAGCATTTTGTATGAAGAGCTACTCATTTGTTGCTCCAAAACCAGACAAACAGGACTCTACAACGGCATAAAAAAATATATACAATCTATGTTTGTGTAAACATGTGAAAGGCTGTGTTGCAGTCTAACAGAGCAGGGTTGAGGTTACTGGCAATTAAGAGACCAGAGAACAAAAGGTTTTCTGCAAGCATCCCATCCAAGTTGTAATACTTTAGAGTGTGGTCTGGAAGAAAGGTTTCAGAGAGATACCAGAGAAAAAGTATTCTTAGGAGAAGGTCTTGCTCTTGTATGTGATTTTGAAGGTGTAAACCCTCTCTATTCTCCTGTATGCCTCATTGAAGTTTAGACATTTTAGGCATGTTATCTTTCCCACAAAAAAGCTACATCATGCATTAAATGAAGGGTTTCAGATATCTCCCTAAAGCACTTCTACATACAGTGTTATTGGAGACTGTGTCATAAAACATTCTGACTGAGGCCATGTTTTTTCCTGCATCTGCTGACTGGATTTCCTCTCTTTCAGTGTTTCTTAGCAGTAATTGTTAAAGGTCTTTCACAAAGCAATGCATCTGCACCAGCTTAGCAGAAAGAGTAGAACTTAAGGTCAGTCTGACTTCATGGGGTTTAATTAGCAGCAATATCATGAGGTGACCCAAAACAGAAAATATAAAACTTTATAACTTTTTTAAGAACTTCCCATGAAACTGTCAGCTAAATTTGTGAAAGATGTGTTTTTGGTAGAGTGACTTACCTGCAGCTCAAAGAATTTGCTGTATCTTCTGTAGATGACATGGGAGCTGGAGTCTGAGTAGGTAACATTGATAAGGTAGACCTAAAAAATGCGGCATAGACAAAAAGTGAACCCTGGTTAGGAATATTTAACCAAAGACAGAGCAAAACTTCATCTATTCAGACTAAACTTCAGAGGCTCTTGGATGTCAAATTTCATCTTCTTTCTACTTCTTTTCAGTCAGCGAATGAGCCCAGTTCAACAGATTTCAAGTACAGGTTTAATACATTCCTGTGTGGTGAATTAATTTTTTTTTAAAAAGAATATATACATATAGGTGCATTGTAAAAAAAATATAATAATAATTTCCATTTTAAGACACACAAGTCTTTCAAAGACAAACAATTGTTAAACAATGAGGAAATAACATTCATCTAAACCTTGTATATTGGATCAGGGTTATTGTCTAAACATGATTAAATCACCTATATTAGAATCAATATGAAATCTGAATTGCTGAACTCAATTTCAAATCGCTTTTTGTGTGCTGTCAGAGGGCCCTGTCAAACCTTGCCGAGTTAGACAACATATGCCTGCCATTTTCCACCCACCCAAAAAAAATAGAATAAATAAAAAGAAAGAAGAAAGAACTTTTGAAGTTGCATTAAATTGAGTGTCATCACTGCTAACCTTAACTTATGCCAACATATGCCAGCGTTTTTGCCAGATGTTTTTGTACATCAGGCATACGCTGGTCTAAATCATCAGTGTGACAGGGGCTTTAGATACTAATGCCAATACTCATGGTATGAGCTAGGCTACACAGCAAGCCATGCCATTGTGTTTAGCTCAGTCAAGTTTTCTAAGTCACATTATTTTGTTTGTGTAGCTAAGCAATGTTTTCTCTTTAATTTTAGAGTTTTTTTCAGTTCATAATCCCTCACTGAAAAGATACAATCACATGATTTTGCTTTGTACCATGACACTGTAGTTTCTCTATAGTAATTAGAGTTAAATGACTACCTCTAGAGGTGAATCAGTGGACTTATATTGGTCGGTTAACTTTAACCCATAATTTCAGAGAAGCTCTGCATAGAGATGTTATTGCCTTCTAACTTGCAGTCATAGGAACTATCTTCCTCAGAACTGTCATCAGTTGCACCCCTGCCAAGCCAGCATCAAACATGAAAATCAGGAAGTATAAACACACCTCAGTGGATTGATCAGATAGAATTGAGAAACAGTAACAGACACTGTTATCTGTTTCTATATTCTAAATATGCTCCTAAACACTAATAACCTTTTTGATCCTTTTGTTTCAGACTTCTTCAGATAACGCTACATGTCACAGAAATGGTTGATTACTCTATTCTTTCCAAAGTCTGAGGAGCAGTGGAAAAGAGCTGGTTTGCCCTTTATGCCAATTTATTTTAATTATAAACCTTACCAAATTTACACTGCTTATTTTAAGATTCACTGGCTCGTAACCTACTAGACTTACACTGAAAAGGATACTGTTATTTTAATCATTTTATTTTATTTTATTCCATTTTTTGTTTGTTTTTTTTTTTTGTTTTTTTTTAAAGGAATTTTAAAAGTATGCTTTTTTAGGACTCTACAGTTTGTGTTTAAGTATTGTCAAAAATATTTTACAACATATAATTAAACAATCATCTTTTAAAATATTCTGTCTACATTTAACTTTTTTTTTTTTAAACAAAAAAACAGCGGGCCTAGCAACACCTGCCACCAGGTTTAGCCCATTTTCTGACCTGAGACCTGGAGGTGCTTTTCTTGCAAATTTCCTCATGTATATAGATTAATATCGTGACATATTTGAATAAAACATAATTTCCTTTGTCAGAGGTTTTCAACAATGGATATTGGAGTTACTGCACTTTGTTTGAAATTAAACCAAAAGTTTTGATGTATCAGTTCAGTTTGTGCTGACAGCCATGGTTATGAAAGGTGGTCAGAGTTCCAACAACATTTATGGACCTAAAAGAGAATAAAATATGGTGCAACCTGGACTCTTCTATACCAATCTACCAGGTTGATGTAGAAGACAGCTCATGATTTGATATCAGATTAGTAAATTTAAACATGTTTCATAATATTTCCTTGAAGATGAATTCATCAAAGATTTTAACACTACTGTGCCTGTTATGCAATCCCATCAGATACTAACATTCAGTCATATATCCATTGTCATATCCTCTCGTAGTTCTTGAATTATGCCTAATTTATCACTTTTTTTTGTACCAGATTTCTACGTTTATATCTATAGCATGTGCTTATTAAAATGTACAGTCTCAATTTTAGTCTGTTTAACAGCAAAAACATCATTTTTTTCTGATTTAAACAGATATCAATTAATGTTGTAACAACTTGAATCATAGAGCTATGTAAATAAAGCAGAACAACATTTTCTGCAGGTTTTATTTACAAATGATTAACAAGATAAAACATGCTATGAGCCAAAATATCAATGAATCATGTCTAGACATTGTATGTTACGGGAATTAACATTAGCTGTTTCCCACATAGGCAATATCAGCAGGAGGAAGGTGGGAGTTTATTAAAGGTACTTGCAACCTTCTCAGAGCACAAGCACACTGCTCTAACCATGAGGCCAACACTCCCCCATAGATGCAGTGTCTATAGAAGTAAATAAAAATCTAATATTTGTATATTGAAAGCTAAGCAGGAACACCTAACAGGTGAAAACATAGGATTGTTTAGTGAGCTGTGCTTACATGAAAAGGGTAATGAAAGACAGTTTATTGCACATTCTCTGAAAGGTTAGTATTTCCAAGGATTTTTGAGATAAGAAGTCTGTATGTCTTATCACCAGTTTATTATTTCCTTCTATAATCATAGAATCACAGTTAGATGGCACTACTCGGACTCATCTATCTGGAAGCTAAACGAGTAGAAGAGGAAAAAGATGGAAGTGTCGATGCCTCTTGTTATAATTTAAGCTTACTAGAGTAAAATATGCTACCTTTGCGATTTGCGCAATTTTTTGTGCTGAAAGCCCTAAAAAGAAAGGGTGACAATGTATTTGGACAAAGACATGGCTGAGCAAATGTGGTTCCTACAGTCTGTCAATTCTACAGGAAGAACTCCATTTTCATCTGAGAGAATGACAAAAAGAATCCTTGTTTGAGCATGTGCACTGAGCGATTTGCCCAATACCACCTTACAACAGCCGACTGAATTTCAAACATGTTTGATTTTCTCCCGACCCTATGATTCCTGAACGGGAGGTAGTCGTGAGAGGCTGATCGCCCCTTGCTACCCCCTGTACACTACACAATGCACAATCAGGCTGAAACTCTGCCTTATCAAAAAAATTTTGCACGACTGAAGAATCGGCCCGGAAAGGGCAAAAAAAATCGTACAGTGTGTGCCCGGCTTAACAGACCATATCTACTTGCTTGGGCCTGCCAAGTCTACCCAGCTTCCTCCTTTTCCAGGGTATGCAATGCACCACCAGGCGGTGATTGGTGGAGAGCGCCTCCCATCTCTTGATCTGAGCATCCAAGAAATGTGGCTGAACGTAAGAACATACAGCTACAAAGTCAATCACCAACTTCCAGCCAAGGGTGTCCTGGTAACAAGTGCACTGATGGACATCCTTATGTGTGAACATGATGTAGTTTTTGGACAATTTCTGACTTGCACAGAAGTCATATAATTAAACACTACAGGGGTTCAGATAAGTGTGAAATGAGCATTGTTTTCCCTGCTGCAGATTCTGTAAAAGGTGCTTGAACACATACAAGACAGGAAGTATTACCGAAACCTAAAAGTTATTGTGTTTTGTAGGCCATCACAGCCTACAAAACACACAATAACTTTGTGTAACAGACAAATTCATCCTATTTAAAGCTTACACTTTTCAAATTATGTCTCTTTTAAATGCTTTTATTCTTGTTTCATGGAAGACACAAAACAGAGTGAAAGGACAATACAGAAGTAAAACAGACAATGACACGATCAGTGAAATACAATAAAACAAATTATGTGACACAAAGAAGATTATTAGGCTGGGGCGGCTTTTGTTACATCCTCATTTCCGCATACATCTCCATTCAGTGCTCATTAGAGTGCTAGGGAAAACAGTAAATGTATTTTCGTAATCCAATTAAAAAGTAAATCTTGTATTATCCTTAATTTGTTATTATGCAATGGCAAAGGGTGATCCATCTGAGCAGATGAAAACAAAATATGTATTATATTTGCTAATATTTCTGTATATCTGTATGGGTTTTTTTTGTATTTTGTAATTGGCTTACTGAAAATTTTATTTTTGGTTTGCACTCTACCAGTGGCGGCCGGCCCATAGGGGGCGCTGGGGCACCGCCCTCCCTGATAAGAAGAGAGAAA